AGTATGCTCAGCAAATCAGTAAGATGCACCGAAAACTTCAATGCATGCAGCTGGCATTGGTCAATAGAAAGTGCCCAATTCTTCTCCAAGACAATGTCCAACCACACATCACACAACAAGTGCTTCACAAATTGAACGAATTGGAGGTTCATCTGCCATATTCACCTGACCTCTCGCCAACTGACAGCCACTTCCTCAAGCATCTCAACAACTTTTTGCAGGGAAAACACTTCCACAACCAGCAGGATGCAGAAAATACTTTCCAAGCATTCATTCATTTTATGCTATGGGAATAAACGAACTTATTTCTCATTGGCAAAAATGTGTTGATTGTAATGGTTCCCATTAATAAAATGTGCTTGAGCCTAGTTATAATGATTTAAAACTCATATTCTAAAACTACCAACTAAACACTAAGTTGGTCCAACTAATACTAAATTGGTGTTTGCACCAACTTAAAAATACCCAGAAGTGGCCCCTGCCCCACGAGGTCCGTGCTCTGTCCTGCAGTGGTGCAGAGTGAGGGTGACTGTGTTTGGGTCCACAAGGGCCTGCACGCCCCATGGGATGACAGTTAAGTGGGCATGGGGCACCCTGAACAGTGACAAAAGTGACCAGACACCAAAGCCTTGACTTTTATTCTACAAACAATCATGGACATGCGTCTTCAGGACTCACGTTTCTGTCCATCATCAAGACTTCCAACCCTTTCCGTCTCAACTTAAACTAAGATGCTCACAGTATGAAAGTTTCATGGAAACTGTCTCTAGCATAATAAAAACAAGTACTTTATCCGATCAAAGAATGTCAACAGCAAGTGCAGTGTCATTTGTGTGGTGACAAATTGTAACTATCCTTCCCAGGAAGAAGGGCTCAGAGTTGAGGGGAGGGTGTTGCAGGAAAGCACCTGTGTTTCATGTGTTTAATGTGCAGCTCCAGGACTATCGCTCTTGTCCTTTTAGACGCAGATGCAAATTAGACCTAACACAGTGGTTATCACAGCAGTTATTACTGCTGCTTCTCCTCTCCTGCATGTTTGGTGAGTGCGGTGGGAGAACAGACCATTGTGAAGGAGGGGTGCTGTGAGCATCAGGTTTGCAGACATCCACGGCAGTACCACTAATCATCACTGGAGTCGGACATGTGATGGAAGCTATGATATTACAAGTGAATTGATTCAGAGATCAGCTGGGTGGGGTGAGAAACAAAGCCCTCAGGACACCTTCAAGACATCATGTGTCTTGCATGCTGAAGTCCCACAGGGGAGGCAAGGAGGCACTCACTTTCCCACGAGGCTGGAAAACACAGGTGACCTTGGATTATGAAGTGGCTACAAGGTTTGGGTTTGAAAGGTCGTGGGATCCTCCAGTGGTCTCTGACAGACCCTGAGCCATGTGTATGTGAAACAGGCTTAAGTTAGCTCAGCTAAGGAAATAAGATCTAGACCAAGACCAGTAGTCACATCAAAAAGCTGAATTTTAGCGTAAAACTCTCCTGTGAGCATATGAAACACATTCACTGAAGAACAATAGCAGAATCCAGAATCTCTACAACCTAACATTCACAATGTCCAGGATCAGTCCAAAATGACCTGTCATCTGAAGCATCAAGAAAATGGAATTTGTTTTCAAGAGGAAAGAGAAGCAACGAAGCCACATCTCAGTATAAACCCAAGATGGAACCCACAGGCAAGACTTTAAAATGAATATTAACTATTTCTGTGAAGTAAAAGAAGTATGTTTTAAATAAATGGAAAACAAGACATCTCATCAGAGATACTGACACAATTTTTCAAAAAACTAAATGGCAATTTTAGAACTGAAACCCCCCAAAATTTCTGAAATAAAAATTTCACAGGAATAGACTTAGCTGGAATAGACAACTCTTGGCAACCCCATGGACTACACGGTCCATGGAACTCTCCAGGCCAGAATACTGGAGTGAGTAACCTTTCCTTTCTCCAGGGGATCTTCCCAGCCCAGGGATCGAACCCAGGTCTCCTGCATTGCAGGTGGATTCTTTACTAGCTGAGCCACCAGGGAAGCCCAGTGAAGTGGGAGGGCTGTTCCTTCCACAGTTGTTCAGATCCCTGCAGTGTGGCTGTGACAAGCAGGAAGTGACAGGACCAGGACATGTGTGCAATGCCCAGGGGGCTGTGGAGAGAAGGGCCACCAATGGCCCAGGGCCAGGCAAGGAGGCCCCCTCCTAGGAAAAGGGACACTGGACACCAGGGGCTGCTGGGGACGTGGGCAGGGTGTATCAGATATGGCATCTCATTATTGAGACAATGGTATTGTGACTAGAAAGATTCTCAGACTTTAAAATTATGGGTAGAAAGACCTTGTCAGCCACACAGCTATTGATACAGAACAGACTTATTGATTCCAAATTCCGGCCAGCTATAACGAGACTCCAAAGAGTAGCTTGATTCCAGTTTATTCTTTAGCTAACCCTTTGAAACTCTCTACGAAAAGTTATTAACTGCCTTTTTCCATCTATGGCTCATTACAAAGCAGTAATTGAATGAGTGGTTTAAAGAAAACTGTGAATGCTCTAAAACTATGAATGCTCTACATTGATCTAAACAGCCGGATTCCAAACAACCTGAAATTCTTTTTCAAGTTATCAGGATTTCCTGAGTACGGTTGAAGTTACATGTGGCAAAAAAATAAATGCCATGTATATACGTACCCACTCATATGCATGCACAAACACATTTTTTGTGGTTGACTTAAATTCTTTCAGACTATGAGAAGCTAGAATAAGTTACCCGTCAAAAAAAATTTGTTTTTAATTTTTGACTTTGTTTTATTTTGGGGGCTTTAGTTGTTGATTTGAAGGAAACCTTTTTTTTGTTTCCTGCCCCCCCCCCCTTTTTTCCCTTTTGGGGTTGGTTCGGCGGTTAAGGATTTTGCTTGCATTGCCGGAACCCCGGTTTGGTTCCTTGGGCCGGGAGGTTCCCTTGCGGAGGGGATTGGCACCCCCTTCCGTTTTTTTTGCTTGGGGATTCCCTTGGCCGGAGGGGCTTGTGGGGTTTTGGCCCTTGGGTTGGCAAGGGTTTGGCCGGGCTTAGTTGCCCACCTTTTTCCTTTTAGTTGTTGAATTGAAAAAAAACCTTATTGTTGTAGTTACATTTTTCTCCTTTATAATAAAGGTACTTAATCTTTCCCCTTTAAAATATATTTCTATTCAAGGAATGAAATATGATGTGTTTTAGTGAAGCTGAGATCTTCTGAATCCAGATGTATGTTAGAGGGCGTGGCAGTACACAGACTTTTTGTTTAACTTCACTATCCCTTGAGTCCTGGAGAAGGAAATGGCAACCTACTCCAGTAGTCTTGCCTGGAATATCCCATGGACAGAGGAGCCTGCTAGGCTACAGTCCATGGGGCCACAAGGAGTCCATTTACTGAGGAACTTCACTTTCACCTGTTGAGAGAAAAAATGCATTTCTCTCAAGGGAGAGTTCCATGAGAGCAAAGCAAAGAAAGCATCAGTAAGAAATCATAAATGTTAAAATTGTCCTATAAAAGATATATTTAAAGATGGATTTTTACAAGATTCTTTTTTTGGTGGTAGTTTTTTTTTTAAAAACTGATCATTACAATTTGTTTTTGTTTAGTTGCTAAGTTATGTCTGACTCTTTTCCAGCCCAGTGGACTGTAGCCTGCCAGGCACAATCTTCAGAGTTTTTTTTTGCTCATTGACTCCCTAAAATAATTTTGAAAAAGTATGTATTCATTCACACACTTTGTGTGGACAGCAGTTTTTATTGTAAGTGTAAATAGTTACAAATGATGCATCTTTGGCATTTAAGTAAGTATTTACATTTAAAAACAGAATTGTGACATCACTCCTTCAAATGCATGGAATGGCATTTAAATTCCACCATTTGATAACCTGTCATCCATTTAAAAAAATACATAAGGAAGCCCTTCAATATTTGAAAATTTGCCTTTCTTTTTGCTAAATTATAATTTTTGAGAGGTAAAACAACTTTTATGAAGATAAGTAACAAAGATGTGACAAAATTTTTATTCAAGTAACTAAGAGGGAAGATATGGTGTGAAAGATATTAAGAGCTGTTCAGAGTATTTCAGGACCTATGTGTTTAGATGCAATTTAACACAGGAATGTTAGGGTGAGATTGCTGGGTTATAAAAGTGGTTAAAAACCTGTAGGACAATAAACTACACCCTTTAGGGTTGTTGGGAGTGGTTATGTAGCTGGAGTAACAGTGTCAGCTGTTGAGAGTGGCTCCAGCTTGTTGGTGTTAACGATATCAGTTGAAAATGGTTATCTAGTCGGTTGGTGTAAACAATGTCTGCTGTTGACAGTGGTTATCTAGTTGGTTGGTGTAACAATGTCAGTTGTTGAGGGTGATTATCTAGCTGGACACTAAGGCGCTGGCCACCAGCTTTATTTGTCACCGGGTGCGCACGGGCCAGGCGCGCAGGTTGCACACTGCGCTAAGGAGGTGGGTCAGGTTCCTATGCGGCAAGGCCCTCAGTGCCCTCCATCTGGCTCCCAAGAAGGCCTCCCCGGGCAGGGTCACAGCAGCCGTGCAACATCCGCCGCACTCCAGACCAACAGGTCAGCGCCTCGGCCCAGGAGAGCTCAAGAAATGCCTGTCTCCCGCCTAGCTTGGACCACACAGCTTCCGCTCGGGCCTTCCCCGCCCAAGGACGTCATTGGTCGCCGACGGAGTTGGGTCTCTGAACGCCACCACCTCCCTCGCGCGCCCTCGCCGCGGAATGACGTCACCGGGCCCTGCCGCGCCGGGGGCGGGGCCTAGGAAGCCTCGGTCCCCCGCACCTCACCTCCGCGGATGGTGTCATCATCGGGCCCCGACGCGTGGTGACGCCATCAGGCCTCGACGCACGGTGGAGGGGCAGGGCGCGCGGGCGGTGCCTCAGCCGGGTTGGCGCTGAGGAGAGAGGGCGGGGAAAGGCGGTGAACCGAGGGGGATAGGGGAGGGGCGTGAAGGTAGCGGCCAGAGCATGGCGGAGCAGATCCCTCTGTACCCGGTGCGCAGCGCAGCGGCCGCGGCTGCGGCCAACCGCAAACGCGCGGCCTACTTCAGCGCAGCTGGGCCCGGGCCGGGGGCCGACCGGCCCAGCAGGTAACGACGGGGCCGCCCCAGCCTCCCGCCCCGGCGCCCCTCCCCGCCTGCCCGACGGGGGCCGCTCAGGCGCGCCTGTACCTGGGGAGGGCGTCCGCGCTGCAAGGGGGCCCCCGCCCCGGAGCGCCCCGTACGGGCTCGGCGGAGAGAGGGGGCTGCCTCGGGTTCGGGGGCTGCTGCCTCTATCAGCGCAGGCAGAACGGTCCCACGTCTCGCAGTTGTTGGTCTCCGAAACTTGCAGCGTCTCCGGGAGATCGTGAAGATGGCAGACATAACTCCCAGTGAGGCTTAGAAATGCAGACCTTGTTGGGAGTCACTTCACAGGTGGAGGAGCACGTGAAGACATTTCAGTTTGTTTCCTGAGAACACTTTTTACTTAAACGTATATCTACAAAGTACCTTTTGTTAACAAGAATTTTTGCTCTTTAACAATGGGAAACGGAGATTCAGAGAGGTTGAATTGTTTCATGTGAGCACAGTTATTAAAGTGGTAGAATTTAAAAGCGGAGACCTTTGATTTAAAATGGAAATCTCATACCCTAGTTGGATTTAGTTCGTATTTAACTTCTTACCCAAAGGGACGACTACCCCATGATACAGTGGTTAGGAAAACAAACCTATAAAAAGGGGAAATAGTTGTTAAAATTTTATTTCTGAAGGATTGTAGAAGCAGTCTACCTTTAGCACACAGAAAAGGTACAGATTGTAGTACCCAGTTGCTTCAGGAGTCAAGTTTTAGAATAATTTTTGGTCTGGGCTGTTTGAGAGGCCATATAGTCAAGAGTACAAATTATAATGTTACAGAGCTGAATTGAATCTTGGTTCATTTTCATACTAGCTGTTTGATCTTAGGTAACTTAAAACTGTAAGCCCTAATTTCCTCTGCTGTAAAATGGGGGCAATATTTTTTTCTTGTAGAATTGTTGAGGGTACAGGAGGAGTTAGTAAGGAGCCCTGTTCCTCTTATTGTTCGGCCCTGAAGTGGAGAGGTATAGTTTCTCCTTTCTTCCCTGTCGTTGCCTATGAGGGTAGCTGTGTTAGTAATCTTCTAAGTAGTTGATTTTAGGAGATATTTTTTGAAAATGTGCCACCTCTTTCACAATAGATTTCCCTCAAAGTTCTCATCTGCCAGTTTTTGCCTTATACATTTTAAAGCTCAGTAATGTGGTATATATACATTTAGGATCTCTGTGTCTTCAGGCAGATATTTTTTTTTGTTGTCTCTGGTAACTTTTTTTTTGCTCTGGAGTCTCCTTTAGTAGACTAGCGTAGCCACTTCTGCTTTTTGTGGATAAATGTTTGCATCGTGTGAGCGTTCAGCCTGTCTGTGTTGAGTTTGAAGTGGGTTGCTATTGGGTCGTGTTTTTCCATTGTTCAGTGTGTCAGTCTCTTGTCTTTCGTTAGTGTGTTTAGGCTACTCGTTTCACAAATTTTGGTTCCTTTACTTCCCTCTCCCCCGCTGTAGTTTAAATGTCATGTCCTTATATATGTATGTTTGTTTGTTGGATTGTGAAGTAAACTGTATTTTTTAGATTAAAAAAAAGTTTGCAGGTCACTATAGTTAAATTAGACTGGCAAATAAAAGCACAAATTAACTTCACAAAAAATCATGTCCTGAGTATCTGATGGTGTTAAACTTTTTGTTTAAATTATCGAGTATGGTTTATAAGACTTGTGATGGTAAAGATAGCTTATTGAACGTACCCATATTTTTACTCATTTTGTTCTTCCTTCCTGCTGTTCCAGGTTTCTCTTTTTTTTAATTTCCCTTTTGTTTTAGGACCTTCCCATAGGCAGTCTTGAGATTTCATCTTATGATGTCTTTATTTCTCCTTTGTTTCTGAAAGATAGTTTATTGGATAGAAAATTCCTTGTCGATACTTCTTAGTACCTGAAAACTCTTGTTCCACTTCTGTCCAGCTTTCATAGTTTCTGATTAGAAATCCGCTGTCATTCAAATTGATGTTCTCTCATCAGTTTTCTTTGGCTGCTTTCAGGTTTTTTCTGTCTTTAGTTTTCAGAGGTTTAATTATGAGTATCTTGGTGTGATTTCTTTGGGTTTAATTTGTTTTGTGGTTGGCTAAGCTTCTTGAGTCTGTTGGGTTTTGTTTCACCAAATTTAGGGAGTTTTTAGTAATAATTTCTTCAAGTACTCTTTCACACACACCTCTTTCTTATCAACTTTGAGGACTCCAATGATACAGATGCTGGATCTTTTGTTAGTTTTAGATAATTCTTTTGGGCTTTTTTTCCCCAGTGTCTATTCTCTGTGTTCAGACTGTGTAAATACTATTTATTTGTTCTCAATTTCCCTAATTCTGTTCTCTGTCATTTTCACTCTACTGAGTGATTTTCACTTTCGCATAGATCCCATCCAGTGAGGTTTTGTTCCTAATGTTCTATTTTTAAGTTTTATAATTTCTGTTTGTTTGAAGAGAATTTGAAATGGATTGTTGAAGCATTTTTATGTTTGGTGCTTGAAATAGTTGTTAACACCATTCTATATCTGAGTTAATCTTAGGATTGATGTCAGTTGGTTGTCTTTTCTAATTCACATTGTCAGCGTTTTGATTCTTTGGATGATGGATAGTTTTTGATTGTTTCCTTGATACTTTGTCTTTTATATTAGGAGAATGCAGGGCCTATTGATATCTTTTATTCTAACAGATGATAACCCTGTTATGATAACCCAGCACATAGGTCCTGGCCTACCTTTGTTGGTCTTAGTTCCAATGAGTTTAATTCACAGGGCCTCTGTACTGATTTTTGGTCTGTTGGTTTCTGTCATGCTACCAGAGCTCTTACTTTCTCTCTGCTGCCGAGGAGAAGGGATTTCCTCAGGCCCAGGTCTCTTGGTGAGAGGTGGTGGTGTCATCCCATATGGTTGACAAGACTGTGTTGGATGGACAGTGGCTGTAGCTGTTTCCTCTCCATCTGTGCTCTCTGACTTCCCTGGTGTGTCTTGGTGGGAGAGAAGACTCAGCACCACTGTGGCCAAGAGACTCTCTGTGGCTGAATCCTTTTTGCTTGTGCCCCTGGCTGCTCTGGCATCTTGAGGAAGATGCTGTTTCTGTGTTTGTTGATGCTGCCTGCCCCTGCCTCATCCCCCCATTTCCCCCTCCCCCCAGTGAGGGAGGGGAGTCTCAGGCTCGCGGGACATGGAGACATCAAGGAAGGCTTTATGTCTGAGGCCTCTAACCTCTTGTTGTGGCAGGGGCCCTAACCGGTGTCACCTGGATGCCCCTGTGTCCCTGGGTGAGATGTGGGAGTCTCAGGCCAGTGGGGTAGGACACTACCTCCTAAAGCTACTTGTCCATCTTGTCCTGCTGGTGGTGGACTCTCAGGGGAATAAGGGCCTTCCTGAGCTGCCTTTTCTTGCTAGGCTGGAGTAGGCAGTGCCGAGCCTGTGTCCTTCTGTTGGGTGGGGTCTCATCAGGTGTCCTCCCACTGTGTTCCTCCAGGTCTGGGTCCCCAGTCCGCCCAGCTCTCTTCCTCTCACTGCTGCATTCTCACCACCCTCCAGAGCTCTCCTGGTTGGCTCTTGCTTTATTTCCAGGGTTTGTATTGATTGATAGTTGTGTTTAGGGAATAGCAGCAGAGGGAAATGGTTTGTGACTTAAAAATTGTGTTCCTGTATTATTTTGTGAAGTTTGGTTTTGGTTGTATTTTATCATGATGATGTTTATGTATCATTTAAAAAGTTAATTGGTGGTGAAAGGCTTATGACAGTCACTATGGCTCTCTACCAGTCACCTCCCCAACCTCTCATTCCACTGGCAATTACCTTGTACTCTTTTAACTGTTTCTTGTATTTACAAATCTCCATTATTACAGTGACTGTATTCCTGACTTGTGTCAACATCTGAAATGACTTCTAATTCAGTTCAGCTCAGTCATGTCCAACTCTTTGCGACCCCATGGACTGCAGCCTGCCAGGCTTTCCTGTCCATCACCAACTCCTGGAGTTTACTCAAACTCGTGTCCATCACATCGGTGATGTCATCCAACCATCTCATCCTCTGTCGCCCCCTTCTCCTCCCACCTTCAACCTTTCCCAGCATTTTCCCAACTCTTTTCCAGTGCATCAGTTCTTCACATCAGGTGGCCTTCTAATACCTTCCTTGATTTCAACCCCCGCCAGGATGGAACAAGATGCTTCTGCCAGGCTCATACAGTACTCTGCTCTCCCTCATAGCACAAAGTGCACTTGACTAATTGTTCATCTTCCCGTTAGACTTTAAATTCCATGAGTAGAGTGGCAGTGATGGACAGATTTTACCCTGGTACCTGGCCCCATGAGATGAGTGGGGAAGTGTTTTCTTCTCTTTCCCTTTCTTGAAGACATTTTGTAGAGTTGGTGTTATTTCTTTAAATGCTTGGTAGAATTTTCCAGTGAAACCGTCTGGACCTGGAGATTTCTTTTTAGGGTGTTTTAATTTAAAATTCAGTTTCAGTTATTGAGCTAGTCAAAGGTTCTCTTTTATATTTGGTGAATGGTGATAGTTTGTGCTCATGACCAGTTGGTTCATTTTATCTAAGTTGCTGTATTTACGTGTATAGACTTGTTTGTAGTATTACCCTATTTTCTTTTTGCTGTTACTGCATTCAGATTTTGGTGGTTTGTGCCTTTATTTTTTTTGTTGTTGTTCTTTCTTGCTAGTGACTTGATCTTTTCAAAGATCCATCTTTTATTTTACTTACATTTTCTAATTTTCTTTTTCCAACTTCATTAATTTCTGCTGTTTATTTTTTTCTACATTTGTTTACATTATGTTCATTTTTCTCTTCTCATTTCTTAAGGTGAGAGCTTGGATTATTAATTAGGGACTTTTCTTCTTTTTTAATGTAAATATTTATTGCTGTAAATTTCCCTCTTGGCACTGACTTACCTGTGTCCAACAAATTCTTGTGTTTTGATTTTCTCTGAGACATCCTCTCTGACCGGTGGATTGTCTTGAAGTGAGTTTGGAAAATTTACTGTTATCTTCTAGTTACTAAAT